AAATAGAAGATCGTGATGAACAAGATACAGAGGGGGAAGAGAATGGTTACGATATGACCATTAACAAGAGAATGAAAGTGGAAACAAATTACGAGGAATCGAAACCAAGTACCCCCGATCACAGTCCGGTAAATAGAATGGATACACCAGAAAGCAATTGTTCAGATACAAATATTGATCAAGAAACAACAAAGTTGTGGCAAGCATTAGCAAAGTGAGTATCAGATTCGTAATTTATTTATTTTAAATTTAGCTGGGAAGAAATTTGTTGAATGTAGTGTTAATAACTTTGTTTGAGTGTCTTTACTTTTTTGGTCCGAATATATTTGAGCAATTTTAAAGTTCAAATATAGATCTTTACTGTCGGTTTATCCTATCAAGATTATTCAAACACATACTTTTGTATGCTTAACACATATTTACATTTTGGATTATCAATGTAACTGCTACTTACAACAGGTGTTTCTTTGAAGATAAGATAACTTTGTGGTCACTTAGTACTAGATTAAATAATGGATTCAAAATTTCTTTACTACTGTTTACCGTTTATCGCGTACCCTTATTGTTATATCATTGCATTTTTGTAGAAAAAGAAAAATGGAAGAACATATCTATTTTTTGTTTTGCTTTCATATAGCAACAGGAGTTTAGAGATTACAAGGACAAATGGTGACAAGTTAAATAATGGATTTACTGGCGAGGCAACTAATCTGCTGCGTTCTTTAATCAACAACAGACAAATCGGTATTACTACTGTTGATTCTGACAGAGTATCACCACAAATTAGATTTTACAGGGACACTCAAGGGACAACAATTGAACGTACCGTACCTGATTGTTCTGTACTCGGAAATCGTACTAATGTCCCGTGTATAGAAAACAAGGTTTGTATAATTTCAAATAATATTTACACCAAAATCCTTATTTTATATATTAGCGTTGAGGGTGGTTAAAGAAAGAATAGTATATAAAACATTTTCTTCTGCATTCTTCTCTAGGGCTTCCCAAATATGTACATTTTTTGAGTTAAATCCTAATCAGTAATGAAAACGTATAGAATATTAACGTGGAAACAGCAAAAGCTGACTCTTTTTTTTTTTTTTTTTCAAAATTAAAAGTTCAAACAGAATTCCGAGATTTACGGAAAATCTTTACTTTTTATGTTCGTACTCTTTTGATCCTGATCTCCGTGCAAATAAAAGTTCTTCCATGGGAAGTCCTTGCAGTTTGTTCAATGCAAATACTAGAAGAGAACTGCAGGTATAGAAAAGAAGACAGGTCAGGTGACCCTTGGGTGTCAAGGGATCTCTTTGGGGGCTATTCAGCTCCCATCTGCCTGCAGGTAAGAAACGTGGTAGGCCTTGTAGATAATAGATAACTCAGAACCTCTTTGTGATAGGCCATAAGCGTTAAGCCCACCGTGTCAACCCGCTGTTAACAGATGTTCAAGATAAGTTGGGTTTCTATAGATTTTAAAACGTGCTTTGTTCCGCGCGAGGAATTCTTCAATTTCTCCTATAATAAGAAACAGGGCTGTCGTATTCTTTGTGTTACTTTCCATTCTATTAGCTTTTTGTCCTGATAACAGGTACCTACAGGGAATTACTGCAACTTTTACTTAGCCCCCGACAAAGTACCTGTACTGATACCGAATTTTCATTTACAAACACAATTATGATACCTGTATAGATATTAGATAATAAACATTATATATTTTCTTATATATTCAGGGTACTTCGGTGGACAGTAATCCATCCAGCCCTGCCAGTGTTGGTCGTAAAGAGACTAAGGGTCGTAGAAAACAAAGTTATCCAGTAAAGCTCCGATGAGCCCGGATATTAATTATCAACACGAATCTAACGAGGAACAAGCACAAGATTTCACAACGTGGTCAAGTAAAATGAAAGGAAAGGTACGATTGATAGGATATACTAATGATAGGAAAGTTATAGTTCTGAAATCAAGTAGTATCATTTATCTTTTTTCCTTACTTTAGGTAGAAGATTCAAAGCAATTCGATCAGCATCCAGGTAGCATGGCGAAAAAGGTAGATATGTCTTGCACAAATTGCGGTACCATGACTACAACCATTTGGAGAAGAAACATGAAGGGTGAAATCGTTTGTAACGCTTGCGGGCTCTATTACAAACTTCACGGAGTGAATCGTCCAGTTACCATGCGAAGGGATACGATACACACGCGTAGACGTAGACCAAAGGCGAGAAACCAACGAGGCACAGAAGTAATCATTGTGTTTATTATCGTTGAATTGTTTCGTTGTTTCAACCGTTTTCTTCTTATAACGGTACGAATATTTCTTAGAAAAAGGTGACACAATTTTAACACCGCAATCGGAACAAATGGACGCAGAAAGTGCAGATATGTTAGCGGCACTCCGACGACAAATCCAGCCCCATTTAATGATGGCAGCGTTAACGCCTCCTCGTATACCTGGGACCCATCCACCAGCACCAGCCGCTCAACTTAATTACTCTCTTCCTTTACCAAGTTACATGATGCACGTAAGTATACGATAGCTTTACGAGCATTGATTTATGGGGACGACCGGAGTTTCTGATTTTACCGGCGATTTTGTAACAGCATGTAAAATCAGAAGGGCGAGAACAATGTCACTTATCCGCGGAAGCAGAAGACACAGAAGAAGGAGATACAGAGAACGTCTCGGACGTACCGTTGAACCTAGTTGCGACGTCGTTATCCGAAGAAGCACACTGAAGAAGTACTTCGAGGAGCATGAAAACGACTTTAACTAGGTATATATGAAACGAATAATCTTAGACAGAGGATAGTCTGTCCGGTGATACACAGGGTGTAGAAGACGAGATTGTTCTCCTTCTCCTTTCTGCCACACTGATTCTCGTCCATAATCCTTTATCGAGCTCTCTTTATTTCTCTCCCTTATTTTTTCTTTTCCCCCCTTCCCACGGTCTCGAGAATTTTGAGTGGTAGAATATTGGGATGATAATTATTGTCCCTTGAGCTACCAAGCCCGTGGTGCAGAGCGCACGAAGGAACGATGATATTAAATACGCAGTATTAATTACGTGGTTATTCGAAATATGTACATATATATACACGAATATGAAGAATATTTTTATACAAAATTTTCTACGCTTGCAGCTAGAGGAGCGACGGGCGATCGTTGTACATACACGCGCAAATTGTTCTTTCGGTGTCGCACGTATTTTTCCGCGTTGAATGAAATGGTGGTCGTTGTCTGTTTTTCATAGTGACGTAAGAAAATTCAGTCGCCAGTGAATTTTTTTAGAACGGCGCTAGATTACTGTTCGGGAAAGGCTTAGAATTTAGAATGAAAATGATTTGTCACTAAACAAAGAAATTAGTGAAAGAAAGAAAAAAAATTTTCACCGTTTTGTTCCACGGGCTTTTAGCTGTCAGTGACGTGTAACAATCATTAATAGTCTCGTTATTTTTGCGTAATATATATATACATATATATATATATATACTAAGCTAAAAAAACCGACCCAAGTGAAATCGGGCTTTAAGAACGGGAGAAAAACTGACCGGGGAACAAGAAAACGGTTGCGCTATGTGACAGATGTTCGTTTTAAAAGATATCCGATGCGTACTCGGTAATTTGAGCATTACCAAATTTACGTTCATGCCAGTATCATTTTAAATACCGTATTCTAGTGGCCTTTCAGCGATTTTTAAACTCTTGTCTCTTCCCCCCATTTCTTTTTTTTTTAAGCTGTTATCTCGCGCATTAAGCGCGGATAATTTAATTTCAGAAAAGTCTTAATTTAGATGACGTAGATACTTTTTTACATGAGCACGAGACTGCCGGTGTAAACACATTTAATACTCTTTCTACCATTTACGTATTCTCTTCCCTCCTCTCCTTAGTTTCTTTTCTCTTTCTCTATCTCGAAAGGCTTCTCGACTGTTATCAACACAGTCGCAAATAATTTGTACTTAATAGGCAAGCAGCACCACCACCATAATAATCTAAGACTCCGAAAGCAATAAGAAACGCGATGGGTACGTAGGATAGATTGTCGTCATACAATATCGTTAACGTGCTCTCTCGACGACAATTAAACATACAAGAATTTTTTCAGGAAGTAATACTTATATATAACATTCATTCGTATGCCGGACGTTAAAAGTAACAAATTTTACTGCTCCACAGTTGCTGTAGGTATCCGTGAACTCTACAATTATTTTCTTCTCGGAGCTCTTCCTTAACTCTGTGTCATTTTATTTTTTATTATTAAAGAGAATAAGAAAAGAGAGAAAAAAAAAGGGAATCTCGTTGTAGATAAAGAAAATCACTTGTGGTCTTTGAACAGTATAAATGAAGCTGTGATCTTTTTTTTTTTTTTTTTTAAATTTTCAATTAATAGTTGGTCTCTATATTTTAAGGGCTATCACTGATCTATTTTTCCAGATGTCAGTTCACGCGTTAATGAACAGGTATTAAGCAACGTTAAATATCACCGTTAATACGATGGCCAGTGCATCTACTCATGTATCGTTATACCTAACATTGTATACCTAAACAACTTTGCCAAAAATAGATTTAGTCTATGTAACATAGATATAGTTAAGGGCATACGATTAAAATTAACGTTTTATCTTTCTCTTTCATGTCATTACACAGCATTTACATCCTCCTTCGTTTTCCTCTTCTTTGTAATTCTTTTTTTTTTTTTCTATCAGTGATCCTCTTGACAATGCAACTGTGTAGAGCTTATAAATTCGTTACAGTAACTTTGTGGAGCATCTTAGTTTTAGTCGTTATCAAAGGAGCCTTATGACACACTCGTATATATATACATATACGTAATACTTGTAAATATATATATATATTTACGAGTATTACGTATATGTATATATATACGAGTGTGTTCATAAGGCTCCTTTGATAACGACTAAAACTAAGATGCTCCACAAAGTTACTGTAAGCGAATTTATAAGCTCTACACAGTTGCATTGTCAAGAGGTATCACTGATAGAAAAAAAAAAAAAAGAATTACAAAGAAGAGGAAAACGAAGGAGGATGTAAATGCTGTGTATGACATGAAAGAGAAAGATAAAACGTTAATTTTAATCGTATGCCCTTAACTATATTCTATGTTACATAGACTAAATCTATTTTTGGCAAAGTTGTTTAGGTATACAATGTTAGGTATAACGATACATGAGTAGATGCACTGGCCATCGTATTACGGTGATATTTAACGTTGCTTAATACCTGTTCATTAACGCGTGAACTGTACATTCTGGAAAAATAGATCAGTGATAGCCCTTAAAATATAGAGACCAACTATTAATTGAAAATTTAAAAAAAAAAAAAAAAAAGATCACAGCTTCATTTATACTGTTCAAAGACCACAAGTGATTTTCTTTATCTACAACGAGATTCCCTTTTTTTTTCTCTCTTTTCTTATTCTCTTTAATAATAAAAAATAAAATGACACAGAGTTAAGGAAGAGCTCCGAGAAGAAAATAATTGTAGAGTTCACGGATACCTACAGCAACTGTGGAGCAGTAAAATTTGTTACTTTTAACGTCCGGCATACGAATGAATGTTATATATAAGTATTACTTCCTGAAAAAATTCTTGTATGTTTAATTGTCGTCGAGAGAGCACGTTAACGAGTATTGTATGACGACAATCTATCCTACGTACCCATCGCGTTTCTTATTGCTTTCGGAGTCTTAGATTATTATGGTGGTGGTGCTGCTTGCCTATTAAGTACAAATTATTTGCGACTGTGTTGATAACAGTCGAGAAGCCTTTCGAGATAGAGAAAGAGAAAAGAAACTAAGGAGAGGAGGGAAGAGAATACGTAAATGGTAGAAAGAGTATTAAATGTGTTTACACCGGCAGTCTCGTGCTCATGTAAAAAAGTATCTACGTCATCTAAATTAAGACTTTGTCTGAAATTAAATTATCCGCGCTTAATGCGCGAGATAACAGCTTAAAAAAAAAAGAAATGGGGGGAAGAGACAAGAGTTTAAAAATCGCTGAAAGGCCACTAGAATACGGTATTTAAAATGATACTGGCATGAACGTAATTTGGTAATGCTCAAATTACCGAGTACGCATCGGATATCTTTTAAAACGAACATCTGTCACATAGCGCAACCGTTTTCTTGTTCCCCGGTCAGTTTTTCTCCCGTTCTTAAAGCCCGATTTCACTTGGGTCGGTTTTTTTAGCTTAGTATATATATATATATATGTATATATATATTACGCAAAAATAACGAGACTATTAATGATTGTTACACGTCACTGACAGCTAAAAGCCCGTGGAACAAAACGGTGAAAATTTTTTTTCTTTCTTTCACTAATTTCTTTGTTTAGTGACAAATCATTTTCATTCTAAATTCTAAGCCTTTCCCGAACAGTAATCTAGCGCCGTTCTAAAAAACATTCACTGGCGACTGAATTTTCTTACGTCACTATGAAAAACAGACAACGACCACCATTTCATTCAACGCGGAAAAATACGTGCGACACCGAAAGAACAATTTGCGCGTGTATGTACAACGATCGCCCGTCGCTCCTCTAGCTGCAAGCGTAGAAAATTTTGTATAAAAATATTCTTCATATTCGTGTATATATATGTACATATTTCGAATAACCACGTAATTAATACTGCGTATTTAATATCATCGTTCCTTCGTGCGCTCTGCACCACGGGCTTGGTAGCTCAAGGGACAATAATTATCATCCCAATATTCTACCACCTCAAAATTCTCGAGACCGTGGGGAAGGGGGGAAAAGAAAAAATAAGGGAGAGAAATAAAGAGAGCTCGATAAAGGATTATGGACGAGAATCAGTGTGGCAGAAAGGAGAAGGAGAACAATCTCGTCTTCTACACCCTGTGTATCACCGGACAGACTATCCTCTGTCTAGAGATTATTCGTTTCATATATACCTAGTTAAAGTCGTTTTCATGCTCCTCGAAGTACTTCTTCAGTGTGCTTCTTCGGATAACGACGTCGCAACTAGGTTCAACGGTACGTCCGAGACGTTCTCTGTATCTCCTTCTTCTGTGTCTTCTGCTTCCGCGGATAAGTGACATTGTTCTCGCCCTTCTGATTTTACATGCTGTTACAAAATCGCCGGTAAAATCAGAAACTCCGGTCGTCCCCATAAATCAATGCTCGTAAAGCTATCGTATACTTACGTGCATCATGTAACTTGGTAAAGGAAGAGAGTAATTAAGTTGAGCGGCTGGTGCTGGTGGATGGGTCCCAGGTATACGAGGAGGCGTTAACGCTGCCATCATTAAATGGGGCTGGATTTGTCGTCGGAGTGCCGCTAACATATCTGCACTTTCTGCGTCCATTTGTTCCGATTGCGGTGTTAAAATTGTGTCACCTTTTTCTAAGAAATATTCGTACCGTTATAAGAAGAAAACGGTTGAAACAACGAAACAATTCAACGATAATAAACACAATGATTACTTCTGTGCCTCGTTGGTTTCTCGCCTTTGGGTCTACGTCTACGCGTGTGTATCGTATCCCTTCGCATGGTAACTGGACGATTCACTCCGTGAAGTTTGTAATAGAGCCCGCAAGCGTTACAAACGATTTCACCCTTCATGTTTCTTCTCCAAATGGTTGTAGTCATGGTACCGCAATTTGTGCAAGACATATCTACCTTTTTCGCCATGCTACCTGGATGCTGATCGAATTGCTTTGAATCTTCTACCTAAAGTAAGGAAAAAAGATAAATGATACTACTTGATTTCAGAACTATAACTTTCCTATCATTAGTATATCCTATCAATCGTACCTTTCCTTTCATTTTACTTGACCACGTTGTGAAATCTTGTGCTTGTTCCTCGTTAGATTCGTGTTGATAATTAATATCCGGGCTCATCGGAGCTTTACTGGGATAACTTTGTTTTCTACGACCCTTAGTCTCTTTACGACCAACACTGGCAGGGCTGGATGGATTACTGTCCACCGAAGTACCCTGAATATATAAGAAAATATATATATGTTTATTATCTAATATCTATACAGGTATCATAATTGTGTTTGTAAATGAAAATTCGGTATCAGTACAGGTACTTTGTCGGGGGCTAAGTAAAAGTTGCAGTAATTCCCTGTAGGTACCTGTTATCAGGACAAAAAGCTAATAGAATGGAAAGTAACACAAAGAATACGACAGCCCTGTTTCTTATTATAGGAGAAATTGAAGAATTCCTCGCGCGGAACAAAGCACGTTTTAAAATCTATAGAAACCCAACTTATCTTGAACATCTGTTAACAGCGGGTTGACACGGTGGGCTTAACGCTTATGGCCTATCACAAAGAGGTTCTGAGTTATCTATTATCTACAAGGCCTACCACGTTTCTTACCTGCAGGCAGATGGGAGCTGAATAGCCCCCAAAGAGATCCCTTGACACCCAAGGGTCACCTGACCTGTCTTCTTTTCTATACCTGCAGTTCTCTTCTAGTATTTGCATTGAACAAACTGCAAGGACTTCCCATGGAAGAACTTTTATTTGCACGGAGATCAGGATCAAAAGAGTACGAACATAAAAGAGTAAAGATTTTCCGTAAATCTCGGAATTCTGTTTGAACTTTTAATTTTGAAAAAAAAAAAAAAAAAGAGTCAGCTTTTGCTGTTTCCACGTTAATATTCTATACGTTTTCATTACTGATTAGGATTTAACTCAAAAAATGTACATATTTGGGAAGCCCTAGAGAAGAATGCAGAAGAAAATGTTTTATATACTATTCTTTCTTTAACCACCCTCAACGCTAATATATAAAATAAGGATTTTGGTGTAAATATTATTTGAAATTATACAAACCTTGTTTTCTATACACGGGACATTAGTACGATTTCCGAGTACAGAACAATCAGGTACGGTACGTTCAATTGTTGTCCCTTGAGTGTCCCTGTAAAATCTAATTTGTGGTGATACTCTGTCAGAATCAACAGTAGTAATACCGATTTGTCTGTTGTTGATTAAAGAACGCAGCAGATTAGTTGCCTCGCCAGTAAATCCATTATTTAACTTGTCACCATTTGTCCTTGTAATCTCTAAACTCCTGTTGCTATATGAAAGCAAAAACAAAAAATAGATATGTTCTTCCATTTTTCTTTTTCTACAAAAATGCAATGATATAACAATAAGGGTACGCGATAAACGGTAAACAGTAGTAAAGAAATTTTGAATCCATTATTTAATCTAGTACTAAGTGACCACAAAGTTATCTTATCTTCAAAGAAACACCTGTTGTAAGTAGCAGTTACATTGATAATCCAAAATGTAAATATGTGTTAAGCATACAAAAGTATGTGTTTGAATAATCTTGATAGGATAAACCGACAGTAAAGATCTATATTTGAACTTTAAAATTGCTCAAATATATTCGGACCAAAAAAGTAAAGACACTCAAACAAAGTTATTAACACTACATTCAACAAATTTCTTCCCAGCTAAATTTAAAATAAATAAATTACGAATCTGATACTCACTTTGCTAATGCTTGCCACAACTTTGTTGTTTCTTGATCAATATTTGTATCTGAACAATTGCTTTCTGGTGTATCCATTCTATTTACCGGACTGTGATCGGGGGTACTTGGTTTCGATTCCTCGTAATTTGTTTCCACTTTCATTCTCTTGTTAATGGTCATATCGTAACCATTCTCTTCCCCCTCTGTATCTTGTTCATCACGATCTTCTATTTCTAATCTATCTGGATCAGAACTGTTCGAACACGTGTCATCTTCAGGTTCACACTTAATGTTATCGTGTTCAGGCATGTCATTGGTGCGCAACTCCAAATGATGTGTTTGCGCCTGAGGTATAATGTTTTGATTAATGCTGGCCGGAGAGTTAGGCTCCTCATTGAACAATGTTTTGTTCAATTGGAGAAATGACTGTAGAGGGCTTAAGCCTGCTACTTTGGCAGTGGAGAAAGACTTCTTCTGGAACAAAGATAATTATTAGATATTACACTTTCATATATTTGAAAATCAATCAAATTCATTTGTTACTTTTACCACTTGTATTCTACACCTGTTCAGAACTGTTCAACAAACAATTAACTATGCAAACTACTTTTTTATTGCCACGCTATTATCAGACTGATAAGGTTAAAATTGCCTACATTATAGAACACCTTGAAATGTCTTACATAATTACTGATGTATCAGAGCAAAGAAGTAAATAAAAGGTATCTTACATCTATTACAAATGTCTTTAGAATATAAGGAATACATATGTACTGAACCATTCTTATCTGCAATCACATGTTGCACATTCTGAATTACATCATTACTTGAAATGAAACGACTACTCACTACTCACTACTACTAATGTATTCAATTAATTTTTACTCTTTGATGGAAGGATGATATGATTCATATTTCATAATGACCTTTATCAACAAAATCAAACACATCTGTAACAAAATGCAAAAAAATATTTAATCAATACCTGATCATCGTGCGATGATAATTGCTTGGCATAATCCAGGTACTGTTTGAGTATGACATCAGATTTGTGTGACACTTCACGGAAGTTGTGCAGCACATCCAACTTGTACACACATCGGTGACAAATGATTGGTGGCAAAGAATCTCCATCTTTCACCTGAATAAGATGTAATTATAAGATTAATTTAGCAGTTAACTTTTGCATAATTCTTTTCATTAATTCCAATAATCTTACATATTATAAAATAATATGCAGCATTTAAATCAAGTAATGATTTAAGTTACATTATAGGGATACATAAATGTTTCTTGACTCTGCTGGGATAAAAATTTACAACGACGGACAAAATAAAAATTTTTTTTTTAAGTAGGTTGGACGGAAGCAGAGCTTTCTTCCAGAAGAACGGATTGCCGTGTATAAGAACAGATTAACGAATCACGGAGGGAGAAGAGGAACACGGAGTAGAGCCGAATGTGACAGCGACTCGTGGAATCCGCGTGTGAAACCTGATAACAGGCCGTCTAAATAAGGAGGTGCTCCCCTCTCCGTGAGATCTGCAGAAGCGAGAAGCACAGCTTATCACTGCCATTTTAAATGCCCCCGTGAGTCGGCTTATCTCGCGGACACATCTCTTGCCAAACTTTCTCCCGTGGCACGCGCACACACACACACGCACCCTTGAGACAGTAAGAAAAACAGAGATAGAAGACGAGGTGGACAGAGAGGTACTCGGCGAGACGAAGAGAGATAGATCGGACCGCGCGTGAGATAGAAGGAGACAATATCATAATGCGAGTACCACAGATGGTCGCGTCTGATTTATCATCGTTTCGGCACGAGGAGGACCGGGTGAAAACTCTGTAACGAGACTCACCGTAATCGAGAGGCACGTCAGTATCTTATCGGCAAAGTTCCGCTGGGCGCCCTCCTCTTCGAATATGGACAATTTGACACCGTCCGACGATAAACAAAGGCGACACAGCTCGTAGAACTTGGGCGGTACATCGAACATAATTGTGAACTCCGGCTACGTTGCGCCCTGCGTAAAGCGCGAGTCATCAAGAGGTAGACTCTTTCCTTGGCCGACGTACTATCTTTCTCCACTGCCACTACGCGTTTAGCGACGAGGAAGGGTACGCGATCACTTATCACAGTCACCGCCGCGGCTCATTGTCAGCGGCACAGTACACACGGTCATACAGTTATGCTTAGATATAGAGGGGCACACTACGAAGTAACGAAGGTTCTTCTCGTTCATTTTACAATCTTCCCCACTGGGAGGCGCTGATGATCACCAAGATCACTGGTTCACTGGAATCCTCGCAGACTCTCGATCAAACGCCGCGCCATCTTTCATTTCCTGTATCATTTAATTTTTCTCTGTTACAATTATTATGTAATTAATTTAAGAAAGTAAATACGAAATTTTATATTTATAAATATACAGCTGAAGAGTAGAATCCTATTATTCATATTACCTAGTCGATTATCCTCAGCATCCTTTCGAAAATCTTTTACTCATCTTTCCACCGCGTTCTATTTTTCAAATTTAATTGTCTTTCTCGTTCTCCTACACCTTTTAAGATATAACTGTATCTTTTCGTATCATTAATTATGAATTCGAGATACAAAAAAATTAGCTAAACATTACAGTTACTGTAAATTTGTTGCTAAGAAGCTTGGACCGTGTCCTGCTACTTTTGCATTAGAATACTGATAAAAAATTCAATTGGTAATCCTTTGGCTCAATGTCATCTGTTGATTAGAGATCAATAAACAAATCAATGGGAAAAACAGGTTTCTTATCACGCGTCATTTTACTAGGAATTTCATTACATCGAATAAGTAGCCCAACCCATAAATAAATCAAGCAAATGGGGGGAATGACTAACGCAACATTACGCGACCCATCGTCCACTTTCGGCCCACGCTATTTTATCACATGTTTAATCCGATCTTCTTACGTATAAGGTCGTGATACGGCAATCCATGGATTCTAAATTATGTTATGATTTATTTGATATGTAACATTATAGAATAATCATTTTCTATAATATTATTTATACTATCTTTATATATCAACATACAGCTTTTATTATTACCGTGTATAACAATATTTACACAAATGTACAATTAACACACATTTTAGTAAATGTATGTATCTAAATCACATAACATACAAGGCAAAGGTGTAATACAAAGAAATAAAATTGTTACCTTGCTTTAGGAAGCTATGACATATCTAGTTTCCTTTAAATCTTACACTTTACAAATTAATTTCTGAAAAATAAAGCTTACCGCATATGTCATTTGTTGTTACTCTATGACTGTGATAGTATGAGTTTTCATTTCTCTGTTCTAGGATTAAACATCATGAATATTAATCAGAGATGAGTAATTCTAATGAATGCACACTCCTTGTATAGAATCATGATGTACTGAAAACAAAAAATAGTCTTATCAATAAGCAGTTATCTTTGTTAAAATAACTATAAATATCCTTTTCTTGCAAAATCCTTATAAAAGTTTAAATAAGAAGTTGTAAATGTACACTTTTTACAAGTATATGTAAACTTTTACATTCTTTCATGATTCAGATGCGCCTATTTTTCTTTCATATTCATTTAAATCTAACAATATCAAATTAAAACTACATTAGTCAACACAATCGACTATTTTTGAGCAGATCGTGTTTGTTATGAGATGTCATAAACGTCTTAAACGTTAATTAGGGAATGTTTTGTACAGATATGATGAACAATTATCTCTTTTTGCAATGTACAATTACAAAAAAAGCAACACAGAATTATTTACATACATTATGATATCCATTCGTCTGTGACACGTACAACTTAGTTGGACACGTTCGTGTTTGCAAAATAAAAATTTGTATGAGGTATATGCGTTAGTACGAAGTCATAAAAGAACTTAAGTGAAATAACAATTATCATAATACATCTATTGTTAAATTTATATCACAATTCGCTTTTAATTGCTTTTTTCTCAGTAATATTTTGTTGAAGAGGATTTATCGTGCTCTCACCGATATTTATTTTACTATCTATTTCAATTGATCTAATATTTTTGTAATATTTCTTGTACTTTTTTCTAATAAGTTTCACTTTATGTTGATCCTTTTTAAGATCATTGGTAGAACCTAGTATTAGATGTATGTCCTTAATATGTGCTAATTTTAATAATATGACTTTCCTTTTATTCTTAGCACTTCTTCTTCCTATTAAACTACTGTGCCTTATTAATTTTCTATAATCTCGAAGCAATTGTTGAACGATATCTAGACACAGCCAACGAGTTCGTGCAATGCATACATCTGGAATCTCACCAGCTCCAGAATGACAAATATTTACAAGCGCTTCGACGTGCGAATCTTCATCCAAATTCGCTAAGACAAAATTAACGAGATTGGATATCGTGATTGGTAGAGAAAACGGATACACCGTGCTATCCTCTTTTCTGAAATAATGACGATGAATATCTGTTATACTGCCACGATAATCGGTGCACTTTTAATTACCTTTTGCAGGGAAAAAAAGAATGGATGGGAATCGATTCATATTATATTCCCATGGTAAATCGTTGTTATCACCATCGACTCTAACGAATAAAAGATGATCCATTTCGCGCAAGTAATGAGCTACTGTTAAGTATACATAAATATCGCGCTACAAAATGCACAATAAGGAGAGTAGTACATCACAACCACATCCTGTGAAATAAAAAAAAACATTAAATTTAATATACTCCTTAATTAGAGTATCATTTTTCAAACTGTAACAACATTTTCCTTCGTCTATTCATTTACCTTTGATAGATCTAAAACAGTATTTAAAAAAGTTTCGGTCGTTAACTCTGTTATACATATACTTCGTGTATTTTTTTTTTCACAATTAATTTTGGTTTCAAACTTTTGCAAAAATCGCCTCGAGTTATTAGAACGTAGCGTCCGTTGTAAAAAACCTTGAGTATAATTATTTATAAACTGTATAAGATTATATCGATTAAAGTCGTCGTGCATGACATATTGACTCTCGTGCTAAAAAAATGATTACATATTAATATATTTAACAACACGGAAATAAATTACGATGCTTCAACTTACAGCAGCGTCTACTATTACAACAGCAGTCTTATCTTTTTTCCTTAAAATATTCATTCCGAGACTCTCCGCGAAGTAGAAATAGTACAAGCTATCGATCGCTATTAGTGCCAGTGTTTTATTAATCTTACAAACTGACTCTGTTAAATTTATATTTGGATGGTCGAAAGAATCTCGTGAAAATGCAGGTGGGTGATACTTATTTCCTGCTATCCACTTCTTACAGTCTGATTTTAAGTACGCCTGTTTTACGTTATTCGAGGATTGTATGTCATCTTCATTCGAAGTGGACGTTTTGTACTTTTGGCTGAAATGAAATAATATATTAATTAATAAAATAATTTACGGATTAATTTATTTCAAATGTATACCTTTTAGATTGGAATCCTTTTTCATATTTTACTGCTTCGTAACCCTTATTGCAACAAATTTCATATTTTTCTTGTAGATTTCCCATAGAGGAAATTTTAAAAATATCTGTACCTTTACAGACGTGATCAAGTTTGTCAGAAGCAAGTTTACAAACGGAGACATCCTTTTCGGCATTGTTTAATATGTTTTTTTTACAAAATGAACATTTATTTATTACAATGTTAGCACAACAGCTTTCGTTGATCCATCGTTGAATAGAAATGCTCACCGTCGTTTATTCAACTGATCTTTGTTTTCTTTTAATAGTTTCGTACATAATTTATTTTTTTCCGAATGCCTAACGATAGCAGTACGCTGTTTGAGGACGGAGATTTTCAATTATATCCTTGGCCAAGACATTATCTCCACAATTATAATATTCCAACCCAACTTCTTTCATCTGAAGAATCAATATAATGTTTATTACATGTTTTAACTATTGAATTCGTATTTGTATTAGTACACACCAGATTGTAATAGTAATTTTCAGAGTGTAAAGGATTACGAGGTGTGAAGAGGATAAGTACAGGCCCTTCCTTCAAATATGGCGCGAATGTCAGTGCTTTAACTCCAGGAGGTTGTAGCCAAAGAGCTGGTTGATGAGTAGAGCTGATAATCCAATTTAATATGTTTTCGGAAGTCCACTCAGAGTCTTCTGGATAGCTCTACACATTTGAATTCTCAAACTCATTTAACTGTGCTATATATGCAAATGTTTCTGCTTTATGTATTCCATATATTTATACCGCTGCACAGACATAAGAATATCTTCGTGTACTTACTAGAGATTCGTTCCACATGAGTAAATTTGCCGACGGAAATTTATAAACATTATAATCTCTTTCGCTAGATAATGCATTGGTGACAATAGCAAAAACCAATTCCCTATTAGGATCTCTTTCTAAAGCTCTTATAGCAGCCTTATAAAATTCTTTATAACCAGGAGTTTTATCTATTCTAGTGAAATTAAAGTAACCTACCACCACAGCCTGAAATGAAATTAATAGATAATTGATCCCTTTTATCAACAATTGATTCTGAAAAACTATGAACAATTTATTAATACTAACATCATAATTTACAAGCAATTCTACCAATTGTTCTTTATGAGTTATCCTAATAACTGGATTCATCACTGCATTAAGAAACCTTGCCATATATGGCCATGTACGTATACCTCTGTACTGTATACCAGAATCTCTTGAAGGGTAAAGCATGAATACCGGGTAACTTTGGATTTTGTTGTACTGAGTCCTACATTCTGAATTTGGGTGCCAGCAATTGATAGCAGCAAAAAATATCTGAAAGTCAAGCTTGTTTTAATCTTATAACATAACAACAGTCTTATAATATTTTTGATACCTGAGTATGATAATATCTAGCAGCTTCTTCAAATTCTTGACGTACTGCTTGACTTTCTGCATCCCATGGAGCATAATACATAACAAAACTAAAATCAGCCTCTGTAACTCTTTCTATCATAGCTTCTAAGTGTCCCTTATAAAAATCCAAGACCACGGAACTCTGGTTAAAGAATGGTTTAGCTAATGGAGGCTTTGATACTTTAGGAGGTCTGCAACAAAAATAATTAACAATTTACTGTTATACATAAATAATTACAGAAAAGTATAAAATATGAGAGAAACAGAATTATAATAATTACTATTGCAAGTTAGCAAATCTTACAATGCTTTTAATTGACAAAACATCTGTTATCAAGTAAAGAAACATAAAGGCGAATTACAAAATAACGTCACGTTGCATCCTAATGAATTTTAGACCAGAGAATTGACATAACCTGCAACTTACGAATTATGTAGTACAGCCAGGGCGGTAAAAGTAATCGCGAGGAAAAAGCAAATATTTTCTCTGGCATACGAAAACATTTTGCTGGCCAATTTCTCTTCTATCGCCGACTTCTGATGCGACCCCTTGGCCACGTCGTTACTTCCTGAATTTGATGCAATCGTGTGCGAGTTATCACCATTTCTCGGTGTGCTTGCTTCGAACTCTTCCTTCTTCAACATTATCCGTAAGAACGAAAAAGGAAATTAAGGAAAAAGATACCGTACATTACAACTTCATTACACGTTGCTTGTTTATCCGGCTGATGCCAGTCGAAATGCTGCTTATTTAATTAAAAGTAATTAGCCGGGCTTTTCGTGGATTTCTATTGAGCCACCTATATTTTTATAAACCGGAAACAGCTGACCACTTGTCAACATTTCGTAGATGCACTATGCGAGCTTGCACGAACATAAACGGACACATGTTAGTTGACAACGTTCAGAGGATCACAGAGTGTGTTGTAATTTTCAATGAAATTAAAATATTCATTTGCAATCGCTCAAACCGTGGAAAACAGAAAGCATTTAGAAGTAGCGAATATTTTTCGTCCACGAAAGACATATTGAGCACCACTGAATATTTGTGCACAGGACTGCAGGATTACAGATGACAGCAGTGCGCACGTGTGTCGAACAAGCACATTATTCATTTCTCCAATGAAACAAATTTGGTTTTCAAAGATATATGATGAAAAGCCTATTAATTTTTTTACCAAACAGACTTTACAAAGAAAAGTCTGGCTATATGTTTGGCAAGGTTGTATATGATGATAATACTGGAATAAAAAAATTTTATGTCATTGGTATATGTAAACTGGATAATTTAGAAACAATAAAATGTGCCAATATAATTGGATATTATTCTGGTACAGATCACAAACGTGGATATGTAGATAAAAAATATTTAGATTGGATTAATATATGTTTACATACCAATGCTTCTCACAAAGACAATATTTACGATTATGGTTTAAAAGGCATTATTGTAAACAATAAAAAGATTTCAACTTTGCACTGTCATACAGTTATTACAGTGTATGATCAATTAGCCCTTCAGGAAACAGAATTGTTTGCTTACAGAACAGCATCTGGAGATCATTTTTATGAGTTAATGAAAATTATACAGAGCAAACAAGTTGAAAAAGAAATACAAAAGAAAGGGAAACTTACATATATAAAGGAAACATTGTTAGTCTATCACATGTTCTTATATTTCTATCCAATACTTCTTCTCAGTAAAATAATGAACAAATTATCACCAGTTTTAAAATATTCATTCCTTGGTTTACATGTTAATGGATGGCTGGAAAATGTTAAGTGGATGTTAATAACTGTAATACAAAACAAAAGGTTTACATTGAAAACTGGTAACTATGTACTTGCAGTGGTAATAGATATGTTATTAGGAATATTTTTATTGCAATTGTTATTGCACTACCTTGAATATACATCTCCATCTCAAATACTTTTGAATAATGCAGAGGTAAATTGACTAGTGCTTTTCTATGATGATTAATATTTTACTGATATTTGTAAATATTTTACAGAAAGTAGTAACATTTTTAAAAGATTTAATACACTGGCTAATGGGTGTGCCAGCTGGTTTGAAATTAAACCATGCTTTAATAATATGCTGGGAAAATTCTTTTTGTATCATATACATTTATGGTGGACATTTTTAATATTTATGAAACCTGTGATGGATTTTGCTTTTAAAGTATTGGTATTATTTGGAAAGCTTGGCATCACATTTCAAATAGCAATAGCAGCTGATCTTTTAGCGCTTGTCAGTTTTCATGCTTATTGTATTTATGTATATGCAGCAAGGTAAAAGACCAAATAAATACAAAAGATCCAATGGTATAATTGAAATATTGATCTTATTTTTTTTCTAGGCTTTTTAATATTCAATTAAAAGGTATTATTGCCTTATTTCGACTATTTCTGGGCAAGAAACAGAATCCATAAGAGAAAGAGTTGATTCCTGCCAATATCAGTCTGATCAACTGTTTGTAGGAACATTATTGTTTACCATTTTATTGTTCCTAATGCCAACAACATGGGTTTATTAATACAGTGTTTTACCATGGTACATTTCATTTATGTCATTAAATCTTGATCTTGATTTAGAAACTAATGATTGCTTATTGCAGCTTAGGTTGGTGTTAATTGGTTTTGGAGGTCTTTTGACCAGAATGAAATTTTATCTTCAAGTTATGCCTGTATATACGTTTTTTAAATGGTTATTCCACTCATACAATATGTTGCAGTAAGTAAAATTCCTTGTTGTTGAACTATTATTGTACATTTTATATGAGTTATCCAATTTATGAACTTCAGGTGTTGTAAATATTAAAGTACACTCACATGGTACAGAGGGACCATTAATATTAATAATGACAATGGTTGTGGCATCCTGGCATGATACATGGAATAAATGTATACCAGATACAATTACTTGTCATCCTCCTATTGAATGGAAAAAAATGATAAATAATATAATACACGGTGAATTACTATATCCACTATAAATAATTTATTTAAAACTTTTTGTAATCATAGAAATTTTGTACAATAATTCAATAATAATATTAAAACTACACTACATTACATCTCTGTTTATTTATTTTTCTCTTTCTTTCCATATATTTGTTCCTGAACTTCTATAGGTATGTTTTCCACCATTTTCAGGTCAATATCATTTTCCTCTCTAAGTTGAGTGAAATAGATGTAAAAAATGAACAAACTTATTGCTAAACTGTTGGTTGATACCGTGGTGCATCTGAATGGTCGGTAGTTGACCATTGCAGCAGGCCATCTTGCTGCTTCAGATGTGGAAAACTTAAGGGGCTTATCAAGCTCATCCAATTCATTATTTTTATCATTTCTACCTGATGTACTGGCTCTACATTTTGAGGTGTAAAATATTCCAGAAACATTATATCTAAAAAAAAAATATTTCATCAGAGCTTGAAACTATTAAAAAGTTAAAGCATAAAAATATTAATGATAACCTTTATAATATAAAATATTTCAAAATTAAACATAAACAAAGTATTGTATATTTAAATATACCTTCTTTTTAACAATGCTTTTGTACTTTCACTTCGTATTAAAGATGCAATGAATTTATTGTATCCCATCTTTGTTATTAATAAATGATATACGAAACAAATTTCACTTGTACCGCTGAAGTTCTGTGTGTCAAACTTGGCACGAAGATGCATGTATATAAATACATATATGTATGTTTTATATTGTGCTCAACAGCTGAAATTTATTTTTAATAAATGAATAATTTAAATCTTTATAAACATAATGTTTTCGATGTTTCTATATTACTTCTTTCAACATTATTGAATCTGTTTTGAAGTGGTTAGAGCAGCGTGCACACTGGTGTACACATGCCAACTATAGTATTTAAATAGTAAAATTAAATATTTTAAATGTATTTTTTATGTTTTTATTAACATATATTAACAACAATAAGAACATTATTTCAAGTGGAAATTTGATATTGCATTTGTATGTCCGTAAAATAATGATGAGCACCGATAATACATCAAAATTCGAGGTTAAGCCTTTAAAAAAGCAGAAGCGAATGAAAGAAAAACATAATTCAAAAGGTGAATATATGATATTTTTGTATTTAATGATTTTTTTTGATTATTTCATTAGATTCAAACCATACCAACTTCTTGTATTGTTTTTACAGATCTTACAAAGGAAACAAGTAACAACACTGATGCATCAGAAAATATTAGTAATAAAATAAAAGTTAATAAAAAACTAAAACAGACAAAGAAGAAATTTAAATAACAGTAATAACTTAAATGATAATCATGAAGAGACTGTTAAATGTAAGGAAGAAAAAAGCAATATTAAAAAGGTAAAAAGAAAATGAATAGAAAGGAACCAGATGATGAAGCAATGCCACCAAAGAAAAGATTAAAGTAAATTATCAATCAGTTAGATAGTTATTAATGAAATCATTAGTTTCTTAATTATAAAAATGTTCTCTTCATTAGTATCACATCCAACAGTTTAGCAGAACAGAAGATGCAGATGAAACTAATGAAACTGATTCAAAGGCTCCAAAGCAACCTTCCAAAAGGCAAATGAAAAAAGAGAAAGCTCAAATAAAAGATAATGAGAAAAGAATAGCTAGTAAAATGGAAGCAATGAAAAAAGGACTTAATTATGTGTTAAAGGTATTTTGTTTTAATTGTGTTTTATTTTTCTTTGTGATGTAAAAAGAAAACCTCAATGTAATATTTTCAGTGGAAACATGCGCGAAGTCAGTGGAAATTTGAGAAACTAAAGCAGATTTGGCTTATGGATAATCTGTTGGATGAACTTCAATCCCAGATGATGTATTTCCTATAGTGTTAGAGTACTTTGAAGGATGTAAAGGAATGGCAAGAGAACAGCTTCTAAAACAAGGTATGGATATCATAAGAAAAATAGAAGAAAATGGAGAAAACAAAGATGAAATTGAATCTGTTGCTTATCAAAGGGCAAGAAAGCTTTTACAAGCTTTACCTACTGAGACATAATTTCATTGAAATTGTACCAAGACATTGACAAACCATTTCATTTTAATCATTTTTATAATACATTGTTTACATGTTTTGTATATTTCCCAATCTTCCCTACAAACAAAATTTTTTGTTACATACTGAATGTATAGTTAAATATTGTAAATAATTTATAAATCAAATTTACCTGTTTGTTATGTGAGATATTTATTTAGCAATTCCTTATATATTAACAATTTATACAGTCAAGGATATAATTTACAAAAGAATGGTATTTTTTACTATACACTTATTACCTGATAAGACATTACAAAAGAGTATCTCATTAACTACATAACAAGATTATAGTTAAAATAGACTACATTATTCTGCATACTTATCTACAAATTGTTTGAGTTTATCTACATCTTGAAGACCAACTATTCTATCTAAACCCTTTCCATCTTTCATTGCAATCAATACTGGAAACAGACCCTACCTATAATAATAGAAAAGAAGTAAGTAAAAAAGAATAATAAATAATTAAAAACTAAATAATATATCAATTAACCTCATAATCCAATGCAAGATCACTGTTCTCATCAATGTCAACTTTTGCCAATAAAACTTTTCCTTGTTTTTCTGCAACTACCGATTCTATACGTGGTGTAAGCATGCGACAGGGATTGCACCATCTATAAGATAAATTACATACAGTAATGATCTTTATTAATTATTGCATAATTGAAATGTTTACGTACGTTGCGAAAAAGTCAATGATCACAGGTACTTTAGAGTTTTTCACACGTTCATTAAAATCTTTTGGATCATGAACTTTAAAGGTGGTTGAAATTGCTTGTTCCGTAGCCGGTGCATTTGCGAAAGCTCTGCTTCCTAAAGCATTACGGACAGTTCTAGCGCCGAATCGAAGCATGTTTAACTACCTTACGTTATAAATATACGATAATCTATGATATCAAAAATAATATCGTGATAATCACAAATGGATTGTAAAACGTAGTATACAATTCATTCAAACCTAACCCAAATCCATCAAAGATCACCAGTGACTACAGATCCAACAAGATTGGACTTGGCTTTCAGGGTTCTTAAATTGTGCCTCGAGAACGAGCGTCATCTGCTTTACCCTGGTATAAAAATATGTAGCACTTCACATTGCACTATTATTAGATGAAGGCTTCGTTATTAATCCTTTGGCGGCATCACACGTTAATTACAAATTGATTGCAAAATTGTATCGCCCATAAAAATTAATATCAAATTCGAGCAGTCAAAATCAGCGCAAGATTTGTATTTTAAAAAGACCGCCATAAACCAAAATCTTAAAAATTCGACTGTATCGCCATCTATTTGAAAACGGCGGAAACTACTCAACAAGTTACTTACCGGGTTTCTGGAACATGGAACACTAGCGCCACCTATGAGGAAACGGCTGAAACTAGTTGGTAAGTAGTTTCCGCCGTTTTCGAATAGATGGCGCTGTGGTCAAAATTTTAAAGATTTTGATTTATGGCGGCCTTTTTAAAATACAAATTTGTCAAGCAATTACTCTCGAACATTATAACGTGAAAAATTAAATTTTCGCGTGTAATTTTTAAAGGTTAATCATTCATATTTTCCACGGAGAATATTGCGTATGAAAAGGTATCGAATAATATCACACAGTAGTTAGTACTATTAAAAATTTGTTATTATAAAAATTACAGAATAATATCCTTTCATAACAACTGCAATTGATAATTTGTTTGAAGCTAGTTTATTTAAGCATTAATTTATGACTAAGAGAAGTTTGAAACATTTACTTAGAAGCCATAACTTGGATCGAGGATAAAGCTTCAGAAACTTTTCGTGTCTCAGCAATCATCAAGTCGTTGCTCGAATCCAGTTTCTCTGTTTGTAAATCTGTATATCGATTCTATTCTAAATTCTACCATTGTATTCTTCGTTTAAGCGACAATTTATTCTACTGATCTTGACAACTTAAATCGTCGAGTTGTTTTGTCAGTGACCTATTCTCATTTTCGAGGCCTTGTATGTTCGGACCTCGATCGTGTCGTAATCCTTTGACCATGTGTCACGCATCAGAGCATCTAAGGGCAAGATATTGTCTACATCCGGAAACACAGGGCAGCGTTCACGACACATTAAACGCATTATCGACTAAGTCTTGTCTGCAAGCTCTTCGAAGGACTAGTCATTGTATTTTTTATCGTGTATTTAATTACGCTGTTCAAAAACCGTGAGCCAACTGTTAGCATTAGAATCGTGACATCTATTTTTATAGTTATCAGTTTAATTTTACGATTGAGGTTTAAAACTACAAATTCCAAAGTCTCAGTGAGGTAGCATATAAATTCCGTGTGTCATGTAATGCAAATTACGTGTTAAGCGTACTGCTAAATATTATTCCTGCAAGATAAAAATTATTTTTGGACTGAATTATGAACAATTATTAATCTTTCCACTGTCTGTATGCTTAAGTAATATTGACCAAGGAGAATATGACTAACAAATAATAAATGCATCGTTTATACCTTCCAATGAATAACAGAGAAATCGATTCTTTCCACTTATCCTTTCGCTCCACCGAATAAACATATAATCAATCCATCACGTGGCGATTGTTTGACGAATTAGTTTGCGATATCGATCTCTTTCAATCTATCAACAATACTTAATGTTTCCTATTCACTGTCGTCTATTGAATCCGCGATCAATGATGTAATATGATGACGAGTGCACCGTAGGATATCGTGTGTTTTCCCCTGGCAAACTGCATCGCTGCTTAATCACTGAACTTCATGCTTCTGCCGTGTAATGAACATGGAACACGAAGTTCTCTGGACGCCTTCTAATCGCTCTGATACGTCGTTGAAGAAAGTTGGAGGTAAATTCAGTCGGATAGATGTAACTGGCAGTAGATGGCAATTAAAAGATCAGTTTTCATTACATTTGAATTAAAATACTTCTCTGACTTTGAGCGAAGAATGATTCATCGCTTCTTCCACTTTTTTTTCACAGTTACGTAAAATGAAAATTTGTTACGTAATTCGTTTCTCTCCGACAAGGTTCTCTTACGAAAATAATAGATTTTCTCCATGGGAAAGCTTGTTCTGGGAGTTGGAACAGGACGACGAGAATTCTCCCCTCTTCCTAGAATAAAATTAAAGTATACAATGGCACTAAATGTACATATTAATTACACGGTACGATGAACATGTTTAAACTTGAATAATAATCCAAGAGTGATTACTAACCCATTACTAATGAAAACAAAATTTCCCTTACTTAAAAGTTCTCGATATTTGCCTTCTTATTCATCTAATTATTTCCATTACAATGTATCTACTTCTATGGAAGTAGGAAGAGCGAATCGATCGACGAGTAGGAAACAAGAATTGAATCGAATGAAACGAAGGAAGTTGCGCAAGAAGCGATGAAGCATCGTCCAGGTATGACACGATCCATTACGCTTAAAGATGGATGGTTTCTTTTCATTTTGCGTACTTGTCTTCAAGGTCTCGTCCGCCTTGGTCTTCGGACCTTTTCCTCTTTACACAACGATCCTCCTAATCCTAGAAAAATGTTTCTGCAAACAGTCATGCAACACGTACGCTATCTCGCTAAGAGACAGTCACGTTCGCGTGTTTATGAGTTGCGTAAAACTCGACATTGTTTCCTTATACGAACAACACTCGGTCTGGCAAAAATATATAGCCGGCCTCGTTCGAAGTGGACTCACGTAGAGACAAGGCTACGAAACAATTTTTCCTCGTTTCTTGCCTGTTAAATGTTTGATGCATCAGGATCTCGATGCTCGTCCAAAGCTTCTGTGTCGAGGACTTTCAGACAGCATTCCTGAAAGTTTTACAGTTTCATTTGTAACGTGTACATACGAAGGAAAAATAAAATTCATAATTTAAAACTTGTTCAAGAAGAGTTGCGCAGCTAATGCTCACATTTACCTTACATTTTTAAAATAACTATTTATACAAAAGAAATTGAAATATTAAAATCCCAAGTAAACACAGCTTTCCCCTTTATTTTCCTCGACGATTTTTAAAAGTTCGATCGAAACCTCATCAAAAATCCATTGTAGTTTCGCACCGAATTTTATGGGGTTGACAGGAAGCCCTCGACGATGGAATCAGTCGCGAGCATGGATTGAAATATTATTACCGGTCCCCGAATCGACATTTCCTTATTGAATTCGTCTAAACGCAATCTGTCGAAAAGCTTCATGGAAAGAAAAAAAAGAAAATAGAACGCTGGGGGGTTTTTGAATGAAAGCACCTCGGCCTGTAATCGTACGCAACAAGGGTGGCAGGGAATCCAGCTGGATACGACGGCGTACAGAGACTTGGGGTAGGAAAATAATAAAGGGAGAGCCGTTGGTCGGTATGGTAACCGTCGATCTAGGATTTCATCTGGCCGGCATCATGCTGACTAGAATAGGTGACCTACTGCTCTCGAGAAAATACCTTCTAACTTCTACGTAGACGCGAATAAACATTCAATCTCTGTCTCTTCAATCAAGTTAGATTCATAATTTGCACGTAGGATTTCTATATTGTCTCCTCTTCCCCTTTATTTCCTCCAATATTTTGTCTTTATAATGTTCCAAGCGACCTGAAACGAATATAAAATAGAATCAGTTAGTCAGATGTGAGAGGAAACAAAGTTTGCCAGGGGGATTACACCCCCGTATTGAAACAGAATCAATTGGAAAGTAACAAAATTAGAAACGAATGAAAAATTCTTAATTTACTGGTCGCCAGCCTGAAAGGATCCGATTTGTCACCCTAAAACTAGGGTTCACTGAATGTTCGTCGCGTGTTACGCGTTCTCTCGCGAGACATCCTTCGATCTGATTAAACGGTCTGCGTTCCTCGACGAAGCGTGAAAATCTCCGCAAGCCTCGAATCCTCTCTTGCTTTGGGCTCTGAAGCGGTAACGATCCAATCGGACAGTCAACACTTTGCTCGTTTGGCGTATTATCGTCGGCTAGTTTGTCAGAAACGTACGTTCGTGTTACCTGATAGAGAAGAAACTATTAATTACCGGTATACAGTTTCAGGACTTTCAATATTTTTAACTCAGGAAAACAGGTACTGTACTATTTTGTTCCACGAATAAACGGCGATAATCGAGCGAGGCTAATTGCTCGGAAAATGAGTTCAATTGTAAGTGTTTAAACGGTTCGAGCCAAAGGCACCGTTCGTCCCAGTTTCGCCTAATCCTTTTTTCTTTTTTCCCTGCTTCCAACGCAGCGCAGGTCTTTATGGTCCGCGGCACGAGAACGCCGATCGGAAAAGTTCTAATCGCGTGTGATATTCCGTGCATCATCCTCATCGTACAAACTCTCTAACAACGTCTCGCGGTTACCCTAACGTATCGCTAAAACAGCGTTACGACGAGGTCATCGCATCTGTTTCCACAACGCGTGACACCACGACCCAAATTAGCGTGGAACATTCAGGAAAACACTCGAAGCCTAAAATTGCAACAGACAGAATTTATTACACGGTACGTTTTAACTTGCCAGACGCTACGTCTGGGTAAAGTCGTTTAAAGGAATCCTGGAGAGAAGAGTATATAAAAATCCGCTTACTTTACCTATGGTGGAAGCGAGTCTCCCTTGGGTAAATATTTGAAAATTTCACTCGCAAGGGGCTTTCGCTGATCGCGTGCCTTGCGTGATTCACGCAATCCTTTAACGTTGTTACGTACCAAGAGGGAGTACAAGAGAATCTAATTTCTGCCAAATGTACGATAGTTTATCCATGAAATTAAGAAATTAACGTAGCAGTCGGAATACCAAGGATTCCGGAATAAACAAGTATCTCTACCATGATCCAAATATCCTTTCATGGATTTCGTTATCCTAGATTACTAATCCTCAAGTTAGTCCATCGAGGTGAAACTTGCGACCTAGAGATTCCGGGGATCGGTGTCATAGATTGTCTAACTTTGAATCCTATGACGTCTGTCCTGTACAATAGAACTCATTCTTTCTTTTCCGTGGTTTGTCGCCC